GCCGGTGATGGATTGGACATTTCTCTGCACTGACCAGGTCAAAGCGTGGGTCATCCATCACCCCGTAGTCCACGGCGTTGGTCTTCCTGTGGAGCCAGAAAACTGTTAGAACTGGGCTATAATTACTCGCTTTAGCACAGTATGTTATAACTTATTCCTTGTAAATGACTGATTGTCTTATTCCTTTTTAGATTCATATTATTCCCTTTATAATTATACTTTTGGGTTAAACTTTGGCTGTGCCTCCTCCTCCTCTCTCTGTTACAGTAGATACTTGTCTTTCTTATCACATTCCACCGAAACCTGCATGAATTAGGACCTGGCCTGTTCATGTCAGAGCTAACTGGCCAATAACACTCGTCCTCCTGTTCGAGGCCCAAAGGAAAAACTGTCCATCACACCCGGAAATCGAGGCTCTTTGCTAATTGAGATCCTCCGGGAACTTTTGTCTGTGAGAGCCCAGCTGATTTACTTTGTCTTTGACCAATAAATGTCATTTTTAGAAGTTTGATCTACTCTGGTTTATTCTCAGGTTTCCAACTAAAGAATCAGGGCTAACAAAACAACACTCATCGTCACCTTCATGGTGAGCAATGTTAGCCCGATTCTTTAGTTGGAAACCTGAGAACAAACCAGAGTAGATCAAACCTATAAAAATGACATTTATTGGGTCACAGTTAAGTATTTCAGCTGGGCTCTAACAGACAAAAACCTCTCTCTGGGTCTCAGTGGGCAAAGAGCCCTGAGATCTGGGTGATGGGCATTATCTCCTGGGCTGGATCCGCCTCCTCAAAGGAGGACTGGACACAACCAAGTCCTATTGGCCAGTTAGCTCTGGGCATAAACAGGCCAGGTCCTAATTCATGCAGATAACCTCGGAATGTGTTAACAAAGTGTGTGTGTGTTTGTGTGTGTGTGTGTGTTTGTGTGTGTGTGTGTGTGTGTGTGTTGACCTAATGACATGTGTCTAAAACTAAAGAGAGAGACAAAAAGAGAGAAAAGAGAGTCTTTGGTTACAGCCAGAGAATTTAGCACAAAAGTATAATTCTGAAAGGAATAAGACAATCAGTAATTTACATAGTTCATGTGATAGCATACTATGCTAAAGTGAGTAATTATAGCTAAATTCTAACAGCAACAAAAAGGGTCCAGGACTCACGAAAGGCGGCGTTTGTTCCTGCAGGACGCCAGCAGACAAACTGCCCCCCCGACCCCCAGCAGCAGCAGCATCGCCACGGCAACGCCCGCGTGCACCGACCCTAAACAGGGAGCACAGCTTTAGTAACCGTTAGTAGGCCGTTTAACTCATTGACTGCCAAACACGTCTATATACGTCTTTTATGTTTTTCAACGAGAGTGTCTGGGGGACGATCTGCTAAAGCTTGTCCGTAAATATCAGGCTTCTAGACAGAGTATGTAGTAACAAATTGACCCTCTAGGGGGCAGTGCCCCTTTTGATGGGAGATGAGCATAGACTGTAGGCAAATAAGAAAAAGGTAACGGTTCGCTATGAGAGAACATGTCGCCGGTGAGACGCAAGTCGAGGAAGAACGGAATAAGGTAGAAACACATTTTTTTTCCTGATGAAAGAAGAGAGTCTACTCTTTCTTTTGGTGTGTTCGGTGTTTACATAGTCATAGCACAAACTATTCTGTGGCTCTTGAAAAATCAGTCACAATGCTCAAAAAACTCTGGCAGTATGGGACTCTCTGTTCTGAAAATGGCTGCCAGTCAATGAGTTAATCAGGACAGGTGGGGGGGGGGGAGGCGTGTGGTCACCTGGTTGCGAGTCCTCCTCTGTGGGGGGGGAGGTGGGGAGGGGGGGTTTGGTCTCCACCTGGCAACGGTTCCCCGTCCAGCCCGTCTGACACCTGGAACCGGACACAGAGAGACATACAGATGGATGGAACTGGACTCTGGCTGACTCTATTGGCTAGTGCTGTTTATCCCCGAGTAATGTGGGTCTGGTAGTTGTGTTAAGTTAGTGTTCTAGTGATTTTGTAAGATACTGTGTGAACGGGAGTGTATGTTGTGTGTAATGTCTTAAGCTGCTGGGACCTAGAATTTCCCTTTGGGGATCAATAAAGCATCTATCTATCTATCTATCTATCTATCTATCTATCTATCTATCTATCTATC